TTCCCCACCTGCTCTTTGCTGGAAAGACTCAGGGGCCTGCTTTCTCCATCACCTTCCAGCTGCCAAGAGCAACTCCCAGGCAGATGGCCGGTTTCCAAGTCCTCAGACCCGGGTCTGAACCCTAGCCCTTCCCACCACCACTGACCTGCTGCGTGAGCCTGAGTGAGACCCTCCATTTTTCTGAGCCTATTTCTTCATCTGTAGAGTGAGGATACAACATCTACTCCAAGGAGATAAGGCATCTAGGGTGCCTGGCCCAGACCTGGCACATCACAGGCCCCACTGAGCACCACTGCCCTCCCCTCTTCCAGTCAACTTCAAGCCCTACAAGACCACAAGGCCCAACTGATCCCATTCCCTTCCATGCACACCTGACTCCAAGTTAACTCCACCTCTGGATTGTCTCTCCTTCTCATCTCACCCCAGTCAACCCTAAGACCCGAGGGCCTGACCCCTTCCCTCCAGCACACTCACCGTCTTGGGAGGCAACTGCCCAGGTTTGACTCCTCCAGCTGCAATCCTGCCGCATGGCCTTGGACGCGGCGCCCATTGGCCTCTTCATCCCCAACGCAGGGATGATTCCCCCCACTTCCCAGTGCGGACAGTGTCCACCAGGACACTTCCACCCCACATTCAGCTGGGACACTAAAAGCCCGAAACCATACCTCAATGTCCACGTTAACTGGATTTTGATATTCCACTGTTTTTATGAGCATTTTTCCTTCTTACTCTTCCCTGACCGACCAGACCAAGCAAATGGCTTGATTGCTTATTATAGGAACTTCCTGGAAAACCCATCCGCTTTTCAAGGGAAACCATCAACAGAGTGTGTACCCACAAATTCTTTGAATCTCTATCCCCAAGATTCTTGCCTTGCTGTTTCCACCCACAAACCCTGCACTGTGGGGTCATGATTCTTACCCAGTCCTGGTCAGGATCCCTCACCCTCCACAGCAAGTGGCTCGGATGGAGGAGCTCGTCCTAAGAGCTACCATAGTCGAGCAGCACTGTGCGGCAGACTGAGCTGGGCACACTCACCCGTCCTCCTAGCAATCCTCTCAGGGGGCTGCTGTGGCTCCATAATACAGATGGGGAAACTGAGGCACAGAGAGGGGAGGTGACTTATCCAGGGTCCCTGGGCTGGTCATGGAAAAGCCTGGACTGGAACCCAGATCTGTCTGACTCCAGCAACCACAAGATGGTGGCTATAACAATGGCCTTAGAACAAATGCAAAAATAATCCCCATGGAGCCATTTCTTCTTCTGGCCTGGCTTCCCGAATTGTCAAAGGTGGTTGTACGGGAACAGTCTGTCATTCTACCAGCTGATTCTTCTTCTTTTGTGTGTGTGTGTATATATATATATATTGATTTCAGAGAGGAAGGGATAGGGAGAGAGAGATAGAAACATCAATGATGAGAGCATATCACTGATTGGCTGCCTCCTGCACATCCCCTACTGGGGACTGAGCCCACCACCTGGGCATGTGCTCTTGACCGAAATAAAACCTGGGACTCTTTAGTCCGCAGGCTGATGCTCTATCCACTGAGCCAAACTGGCTAGAATTTACCAGCTGATTCTTTACCTAATCAGCGAGTCAGTCAGTCAGTTCACTGGTCAGTCAATACCCTTTTCTGATGGCCTCAGGACAGGGCTGGAGAGAAGTGTGGTGACAGGGACGCGTGGCCCCCAGTCCAGGGGCTTGAGGATGGTTAGAGCTTAATACTCATAATCAAAGCCCAGATTTGAACTTCCAGGAGGGATCTGCTGAGAAATGCCTGAGGATGAAGGAGAGGTCTTGGATGAAGCAGGAACAAGGCAATGATACTTTCTCTCTAGAATGTTCCAGCCTGCCCCTCAGCAGAGAGAGCAAGACCTAGAGTCACTTAGACCTGGTATGGCCTTGGGCCAGCAATTCAACCTCTCTGAGCCTCTAAACTAGATTCATAGCCTTGCTTCTCAAGCCTGTGTGACTGTCACACAGGATAACGTCCTTGATCCACTCCAAGATGCCTCATAAACACCAGTGTTGTCAGCCTTTGCCTCCAACTCACCGGGGAGTCTATTTCCAGGTCTGGCCACCGGGCCTCAGAATAACTTAGTTTCCTTCCTGTGCAGGACTCAGCCCCGGCATTACTCTCTCACCTCCTTCTGATCCCTGAGCGACACCAATCCCTCTGGGTTCCTCCCTCTGCTGTCTCTTCTCCTCCCTCCCCACCCCATCCCCAGCTGCATTCTAAGAGCTTTTCTTTTTTTTCTAATCATTTCCCTGTGCAAGAGAAGGAAAGGTCCCTCCCCCACACTCGCCACCACTCACACTTTGCCAGAGGCATCAAAGGACCTGGCCTTCTTCTGGCCTGACTTCCCAAATTGTCAAAGAGAGATAGAAACATCAATGATGAGAGAGAATCATTGATCAGCTGCCTCCTGCACATCCCCTACTGGGGATTGAGCCCACAACCTGGGCATGTGCCCTCTTCCGAAATAAAACCTGGGACTCTTTAGTCTGCAGGCTGATGCTCTATTCACTGAGCCAAACTGGCTAGAATTTGCCAGCTGATTCTTCACCTAATCAGCGAGTCAGTCAGTCAGTCAGTTCACTGGTCAGTCAATACCCTTTTCTGATGGCCTCAGGGCAGGGCTGGAGAGAGGTGTGGTGGGAGGGACACGTGGCCCCCAGTCCAGGGGCTTGAGGATGCTTGGAGCTTAAGACGCATAATCAAAGCCCAGATTTGAACTTCCAGGAGGGATCTGCTGAGAAATGCCTGAGGATGAAGGAGAGGTCTTGGATGAAGCAGGAACAAGGCAATGATACTTTCTCTCTAGAATGTTCCAGCCTGCCCCTCAGCAGAGAGAGCAAGACCTAGAGTCACTTAGACCTGGTATGGCCTTGGGCCAGCAATTCAACCTCTCTGAGCCTCTAAACTAGATTCATAGCCTTGCTTCTCAAGCCTGTGTGACTGTCACACAGGATAACGTCCTTGATCCACTCCAAGATGCCTCATAAACACCAGTGTTGTCAGCCTTTGCCTCCAACTCAACAGGGAGTCTATTTCCAGGTCTGGCCACCGGGCCTCAGAATAACTTAGTTTCCTTCCTGTGCAGGACTCAGCCCCGGCATTACTCTCTCACCTCCTTCTGATCCCTGAGCGACACCAATCCCTCTGGGTTCCTCCCTCTGCTGTCTCTTCTCCTCCCTCCCCACCCCATCCCCAGCTGCATTCTAAGACCTTTTCTTTTTTTTCTAATCATTTCCCTGTGCAAGAGAAGGAAAGGTCCCTCCCCCACACTCGCCACCACTCACACTTTGCCAGAGGCATCAAAGGACCTGGCAGAGACAAAATATAAGGCAGAGGTTACAACTGGGAGGGCCCGGCCTATGTGTGAGCTGTGGATCCTGAGGTTAATGACGCCCTACGGAGTTGTGCCATGCATAGTCCTGCCGGGGGGTGCATCTGACGCCTGGACATTTTCGGAGGGCTTGCACAATGCTTGGCTTGTTGAGTGTTTTTAAACAAATCAGTTTCCAGCATTTAAAAATCAAAAAATTTCACATAAAACTCCAGATTTTTGTTTTCTTTTCTTGGAGGATTAGCAGATCTGGCAACAATGGGCCCACATTCCCATATGGCAGCACTCCGCTAGTCCAAGCTGCTGGGCCTGCACGTGGCGATTTGTCCTGCTGGAGCCTCTTGGGGGTGCCTGCCTGGTCTGCTTCCTGGAGCCTCTTCACCTGCCTGGAGGATTCCCTGTCTGTGACCCCACAATAGCACTGGGCCTGGGGAGTCCACTAGAGAGGAAGCCAGGGCCTGCTTAACCCTTTGCAGAGTGAGGAAACAGAGCCAACTAGGGCCATGGCTTGCCCAGAGTCACCATGGCAGGGACAGAGCTGGTCTCTGTTGGTTTAAGAGTGAGAAAGAAAATTCATTCCACACACACTGACAGCTTCCCGAATCAGGCCACAGGGGACCCAGAGACAAGCAGACCCAGTCCCTGCCCCTGGGGAGCTTCCAGTGTGTGTGTATGGGAGCGGGCAGACACCTAACACAGAATCACAATGACATGTGCTCACTGATGTGACACTAGGAGTTTGGGGACTATGGAAACACAGTGTAGAGGCCCTAGCCTAGATTAGAAGGTTCTAGAAGGCTTCCTACAGGAAGAAACATCAGAGAGAAGGGCAGAAGTAGGAAAGTGCAAAGACTGCTTAGGGAACAAGGAGTCTGGCAAGGCTGGAATGCTGGGGTCAAGGTGGGGAGGGGAGGCTGGAGCAGTTGGAGGGGCCAGGCGGAAGGGCTGGGATTTGTTCTGAGCCCAGTGATGAGGTCCGATTGGGCTTCCTAGGAAGACCTCCATGTCTGAGCGGGGAGAGTGGAGAAATCAGGCTGCAAACAAGAACCAAGGAGAAGGCAGGAGTGGGGTCCAGGGCAGGGAGTGGTAATGGAACTGGGCCAGGTAGCGGCACATGGAGAGTTATCCCTGGATGCACCGTGGGGAGGTGGGATGGACAGGGCTTGGTGGGAAAGCAGCGATGGGGAGTGCAAGAGGCCGAGTTATCCTGCTGGCAGGGAAGAGGCACAGTTTTCTGTCTGGGTGTGCCACCACTGAGGGCCAGAATTGTAGGGTGGTGGTGAGTCCAGCCATAGACAAGGTGAGTTTGGGGTGGCACCAGGGCACCCAGGGGGAGATCCAAGAGCATGAGCTTCAGGAGGGCCCATGAGAGGATGTACCTTGAACCAGACCTCTGGAAGTCTGGGAGGCATGTGTGGAAAAAAAGGTAGCAGAAGCCACAGGTGGGTAAACCTGCCCAGGGAGCCTGAGGAGTCCCATCATGTGCCTCAACTGAGGAGAACACAGCAAAAGGAGGAACCATATTGGAACTCTGTTCAAGTGCCAAAGGTGGAGGGGGGCGGGGGTGTATTGTCGCTAAGGAGCCAGGATGTTTTTGGAAAATCCACCAGCTTCCAGCACTAACACACCCACAGCCCAAGCCTGCAAAGGGAAATGTTCGGTGCCAAAGGTGGAGGGGGGCGGGGGTGTATTGTCACTAAGGAGCCAGGATGTTTTTGGAAAATCCACCAGCTCTTCCAGCACGAACACACCCACAGCCCAAGCCTGCAAAGGGAAATGTTCCCAGCAGCAGATATTGGTCAATCCATTCCTCATAACGATGGCACATACCTCTCTCTGGAGGTGCTGGGGTGGAAGGAGGGAGTCTCATCATAGCCAGGGCCTGCCTTGAGCCCTGCCTACCGCCTAGATTGCCTGGGTTCCCTCGGCCTGCTGGCCTTCCTGCCTCGCTCCTGCGGCCCAGGCCAGCTATCTCTCCCTTCATAAGCCCCGCTTTGTGGGACAGGTCCCTCAGCCCTTCCTCTGGGCTGCAGAGCTGATCCCCCCCCTTGCATTATTTCTGGCCCCTCTTATCTGGTTAGGCAATGATCAACCCAACAGAGCAGAGGCTGCCCTGCCCTGTGTCCCGGAGGACCACGTGAGGTCCCTGCTGAAACCCTCTCGGTCAAAGACTTGGGATTAAAATATTTGTGCTGCCACACTGTGGCTGTGTGCCCTTGAGCAGCTTATTTAGCCTCTCTAAGCCTCAGTTTCCTTCTCTGGAAGTGAGAGAAGTGTCTCACATGAAAGCGACCTGCCGGTTACACTGTAGTCTTCAACCATGGTCAGCCCCTCCTCCTCTCCCACGCCATCTGCGGAAGCCTGAGTACAGAAGCCTCAGCCTCAAGGAGGTCAAGGCCAATGGGCGCCACTCTGTCTCATCTCCTCACCCCCAGTAAACATTATTCTCTGGCCCTACTAGGTGCTTGCCAGTCCCCAAATCCCTTGTGGTTTTTTCCACCCCTCAGCATTTGCACATGCTCTTACTCATCCCGAAGTACCTTCCTCCTGGGCAAACCGCTTCTCATCTTTCAAGACCTGGCCCACCTTAAAATCATGATTGTTGAATTGAGGTAAACTGAATGAGGGAGAAAACAGAGTGGGGGTGGGGGACTGCAGAGGGGTTCCCAGGGTAGGGTGGGGGCTCTGTGGGGGCCCTGAGTGCTCCAGGTCCCCCCAGTGGCAGGGCTCGGCAGGGAGGGGGAAGACTTAAAGGCATAGGTCTTGGCTGTCATCTTTGGGAAATTCCTCCTCCTAGCAGGACCCTTGGGTGATCTGCTGGGAGGACAATAGCCTACTTGAGGTCCAGCTGTTGCAGGCCTCCCAGCTGTTGCTTCTTGAAGGAGATCCATGCAGGGTGGGGGAAGGGGCTAAGCACTTTCTGGTGGTTTCCAAGCCAGGTCAGGGACCCTGTGCTGGGACTTTCTGTTCCCGGTTCTGGCCCCAGCTACCCATCTAGACCCAAGATGACCCTAAACATAGTGATGAGGGCTTACGGGGAGGGTGGGCCCTGAGCCCAGTCTCCTTAGGCCTAAAACTCAGAGCCTGAGGCTCAGAGATAAGTGCCATTGGCCCAGGCCCTGTGGCCTCCAACCACTACTTCCAGCTCCTCACTCTCTGTGCTTTACTCCCAGTGATCCCCGTTGTACTCCACCTCACTCCATATCCCGAATCTCCAGTCTTTAGGAGGCTTTCAAAACAGGTTGGAGGGAGGGGAGGAATGCCATGAGGGGAGGGGAAGCATGAAGAGGACGGAGGACAGCTTAGTACTGAGCCTTCCCCAGTACTACCTCTGCCCAGCCTGCGCTGAGTTCTGGGGCCTTAGGAGTGAATCAAATCAGGCCCCAGCCCCCGGGAGCTCCCAGTCTGGTGAGTCGGGTGTTGTTCTTTGTAATTTCAAGCACTGATGCTTAGGGTTCTGGTCTGCAGGCCATGAGGGGTGGTAGGGGGCGGTAGGGGCCAGGTTTACTTCCTCTCCACCGCTAGGGTGTGGCTGAGGCCCAGGCAGGCCTCCTACAGATAGCCAAGGCCCCTAACACTAAGGGAAGACTGGACCCTGCCCTCAGCAGAGGCCTCTGCTCCACTGCTCCCCCCAAAGACAGAAGACTGAGCTTCTCAGAATAGGAAGGGAGCAAGTGAGCACCTTGGCCAGCACTGTGCAGAGGGAGAAAGTGAGTCCCAGAAAGGGACAGAAGCAGACTGGACATTGGGTGCCTGGCACCCACCCGATTGTGGGGTCCAAGCAAGCTCTCCATTTGGTGGACAGCTGTCTGACATCTGGCTCAGCAGGCAAGGCCCAGCCTGGGAGGAAATAACTCCTCCCCACATACATACTGCACTAGCACCCAGGGAACAGCTTGCTTTGTCTGGAGTCAGCGGGGAAGTGCCCAACGCAGGTGGAGGCTGGATTCTGGCCCCGACTCTGCTGCTTGCTTGCAGGGCGACCTTGGGCGAGTCACGTGCCCTCCCTGAGCATCTGTTTCCTCGCCTGTTAAAAGGGGCGAGCGCATGTCACTGCTTTTCATGACGCCAGTGCTGCAGAGCTGACATGTGAACCTAGGGCTGCGGGTGTTTTCTCTTGCCCCGCCATCTGCCCTGGATCGGCTCACATTTGAACCCAGAAGAGCTGGCAAAAGCAACAGAAACAACACCAGGAACAAAGAAGGATGAACCACAAAGAGAGGGTCAAACAGCATATGGGAGAGAGGCTACGGCTAGCCTAGCGGAGAATCGGTCTGAAAGGCTTCCTGGGGGAGTTGGTGTTTGGAGGAATTGGAAAGTGGCAAATTCCACCAGAATGGGATGTGGGTGGAGGGTGGGGCTTCCAGGTGAAGGTAAAGCCGAGCAGAGGTGTAGAGGTGGCACAGTGGCTTTTTTGAATCACAGAATGGGCCTGGCTCTAGATCAGGGGTGAGGAACGTCCTGCCCTTGAGGCCCTAGAAGGCCCGCAAAATCATTTGGTCTGGCCCTGCCAAGGCATTAGGGGTGAGTCAATTAAATCTTTGACCAAATACATAGCAGGCTAATTTTTAAGTTGATCATTTTGTATGGCCCACGACTGATGTTATAATTATCCAAATGGTCCTTGTAGAAAAAAGGTTCCCCACGCCTGCCTTAGCTCATGTCCTCCAGTCCTTCCCCACAGACAAGGAAGCTCTACCTGTTGCCTAAGGGCACGTGGTGAGCTGGTGATGGGTCTCTGCTGACAGCCTCATCTGACCACCACTCCTCTCTGCCTCTGGCTGGGACAGCTGGTCCCTCCCCCTCCAGCGAGCTGGGACGGGGTCTCTTTTCAGGCTGCAGGCTCTGTCCCTGCCCTGCCTGCATCCCCACTTCCCTCAGAGTGCTCTCAGACCAGAAAGAGAGCCTGGGGGAAGCCGGCCATGGCTCAGGTTGGGACTTAGGAAGATAGGCCAGGTGTGCCTTCTGGTGGCAGAGTGGGCAGATGCTGGGGCCAGCTTCCTGCTTTATGGGCGTAGGTGGTGGTGGTGCATGTGTGAATTAGGGGGCAGCTAGAAAATATTCCAGAACGGAGCCTAGCAGGGGTCAGAATAACAGTCGAGGTAGGGCAGGGCTGGGGGCTGGTGCAGTAATGGCCAAAGTCTCTAGTTTAGTTTCTTCCCATACCCATAGGATTGTCAACTCTCCCGTCCCATTGCTCACCAAGGCCGATTGGGAAACTGGTTTGTCAGTGGCCCATCTCCAAACCTCATTTTCATCTCTCCTGTGAGGCCCCCAGAGGAAGTATCCATCCCCACCCTTCCTGCCTGCCACAGTCCCCAAGCCATGGCTGTGACATAGCCCAGTCTGCCTGCTGGGCCACTAAGCCTTCACCAGCCCACAAAGTCCTCACGGCCGCACTGCAGGGAGCAAGCCCGGCCTTGCCTGAATGGGTGTGAGGCTAACACGGTTAGGAGAGGACAGACAGCTGGAGGGATGCCAGAGGTGATTGCTGCAAGGTCTAGCACCAAGAGCCACCCTGTCCGAAGATCAAAGATTGTTTCTTTCACTTTCCTCCCCAGGCCTAAGAAAAGTTCAGCGCTGGGTTCAGAACCACCGCCCTCTCCACATGGTGCTTCAGTCACTCCCCAGGCTCGGCTTCTCAAGGCTTCCAGGCATTTCCCCTCTGGCCTCCTCCCCACCTGGCAGCCAATGCACACAGGTCTCTCTCTGCAGTCTTGCCTTGATCTTTCTGTTGCTCTATCTGCAGATCTGTAGGTCTGTCCTGTATCTGTGTCCTTCTGGTTCTCTCTCTCTCACTATCTCTTCTCCTAGTCTCTTCTGCAGCCCTCTCTCTGGGGCTGGTCTCTGCATGCTTCTGGGTCCCTCTGCACGCTCCCGCAGACACCTGCTAATCTTTGTCTTCTCCCTCTGTGTCTGTCCTGTCCTGGCCTTTGTCTGACTCTGCATATCTCTGGACTTGCTCTGTCTCTGACTACACTTCTCTCTACCTCTCTTTTTTCTGTTGTGTTTGTCTCTCTCTTTGGCTGCTTCAGAGAGGGGAAACAGGGCTTGGTGAAGGAATCGGGGGGCAGGGGTGCCTTTCTATTGCCCTGTTGGTTGTGTGGACGAAAGGGGCCACACGCTGATCTGACAGGCTCAGGGAAGGCCTGCATGGCGGTCTTGCAAACTCAGAGACCTAAAGTCACCACAAAGGATGGTCTGAAATTAAACTTTAACTAAAAGCAGTTATGGTGGGTAGTCACCTCCTAGG